ATACGGATCCATATCCAGGTTCTGAATCTCTTGGATCTGCTTTATTTGCTTGAATAAGCTCTTTCATTTTATTTTTAGATTTGTGTATTTTATGTGTATGAACATCTTGCTTACATGTATGTCTGTGCACCACTTGCATGCCTGGTGCCCTTAGAGGTCAGAAGAGAGCATTAGATCCTTGGCAGCTGGAGTTATGGAGGGTTGTAAGCTTTAATGGCTTTTTGAGTAATGGGGGCCAAACCCAGGTTCTCTGAAAGAACAATAAGTGCCCTTAACCACAGAGCCATCTCTCCAGCCCCAGAAATACACTCTTACTTAAGCAAAAATACTATTTTATGTGAGCGTGAAAAGCGAACGTTGTAGATTTCTATTTGCAGAGGGCTGAAAAAAATGGCACAACATATAGGTGCAGAGTTGGTATATTTCTACGTTAGGAGTCAGAAGATGTAGACTTGATTTCCTCTCGTACCTCCACTGTTACCACTGACACCTCTTTCCTTAGCCCATTGCCTCTGAATGCAGATGATGACACTTTCCTATCTTGTACAAAGGTATAAGGCTAATATCATATGAAAACACATGTAAGAGCACTTTTAAAACACCTAAAGTGGTTACATTACTTGCTTTTTTACCACTATTATTCTTATGTGTGTGGATAGAAAATTACTGGGTTGTACCTAGGAGTCTTAAGTCTTTGGTTTTGTGTCAGAAAATGTTAATACTTGATGTCTACAAGAGAGGTGGGGAGTGGAGGCCATGAAACTGGAGAGTTGGGAGTTAGGGAGGTGATGAAGGATATGGGAGAGGAGAATAATTATGATTAGCTATATTCTATGAAATTCTCCAAAAATAAATAAAAAGTTATTTGGAAAAAGTAAGATCGGCACTGGGTTGGTGTTGCCACTGGTACCTAGCGGCGATCTCACTCTACATTGCGATGTTATTTTCCTACAATGTTCTCATCAGGTGACTTTTGAATCTAAGTACTGGAGAGTCTGGTGAAAATACATGTTTAGGTGCTAGAGAGATTGCTCAGTGTTACATAATGCTTGCTGCTCTTCCAGAAACTCTGAGTTTACCTTCCTGTAACCACTGGACAGCTTATAATTGTCTCTAACTCCAGATGCCTTCTTTTGGCCTTTGTAGGTACCCATACATATGTGATTACCCAGCAGGTGTCTACAATCCTGCTTGCCTATTGTTCAGGAACTTCCTTCTGTTTCATCTAAATCAACATGTATCACATGTAAGAGCTGTGAAAATATGTCACATTTCCCCCACCATTTGAATAGGGTGAACCAGTTAGTTCTAGATGCAGAGTGGGGTAAGAGAAAGAATGACGGAAGGAGAAGTTGCAAAGGATGATAATGTGAGCCACCCAGAGAGAGCTATGGGTATGCAAAAGGTGGGGGGCATTTTTATGTCAATTGGGGAAGGGAAGAAGGAGATCTAGAAGCAGCCTTTAGAAATTTCTCCGGGACTAGGAAAGATGACCACTGTAGGAAAGGTCTGACTAAAACCAATAGCCTGCATTTACTGAGCATTTACTATGTGATAGAAACTATCCTAGAGACTTATTAATGCATGATGGAAGCTGCAATTTTAAGTGTGTACCTACAGCCTGTGAGGAAAGGACAGTGTATCTCTGTAGTTGACATCTGAAATAAATCTGTGGCTACATAAGACACAGAAAGTAAAATGTCTTTTCCATTGCATAAATTCCACTAAGAATATTTAATGGCAAAGATTTTGGGCGTATAGCTTTCTATAGGTGCCAGGACTTCCCACCATTTAGAAAATGGATTTTGCATGTAAACTGGCTATGTGCAATGATATAGACCTACCACAGAGGCAGGTTATTGGAAAGAAATAAAAAGTAGAGTCTACAGAATCTGCTGTGAGCTCAACGGGTAAAACTGTTATGTCTCCCTTCCTTACTGTGCCAGCCTTCATGTGTCCTGCAACAAACATCTGTTGGCAACTGAGTAAATGAATCAATGAGTGACAATGGGAAAGTTATCAGTGTTGAGATTGCCTTTTTTAGTGGTATCCAGGGTATGTCCATTATGATAATTTCTCCCACCAGTACTTTTCTTAGCCATCCTGATTGCCTGACCTAATCCTGAGGCTTTGGTTTGGAACCGAAGAGAACTCGGGTTAAACAAAAGAAGGAAGGTTCAAAAGAGCTCCTGGATATTCTCTACCAGTGAGAAGTCACTTCTTTAATTCAATCTAGGAGGAAATCTCATCTATTTACACAATGCAACTATATATTTAGATACCATGACTTACTTGAACAGGATTTCTGGTATGGTGACTGATTTCATATAAATGCACTTTATGAAGTTTGAATGAAAAAGGGGCTTCCAGAGAATTTGAAATTAGAATTTATTTTCCTGATTGATAGCCAGCATCACTTACTACTAGAGTTTGAAAAAATATTAAGAGGGAGTTTTATTTTGAGTTTTCTATCTATACCTTCAGTTAACATTTGCTGGATAGTTTTACAGGGCCAAGCACATTCTTGTCCCTTTTGGTTAGAGCACATTGAGTGTTTAATTGAACTTAATGTGTCCATGAAATCTATTCCAAGATATTTTTTGAGCATCTGTGGGCTCTGCCCATATTCTGTGATTCACTCATTACTGACCAAAACTCACATTTTCATTAAAGTTTTCTTGAAATTTATTATTTTTTCCCTTTCTAAATTACACTTTGGGGACAGTGAAGAGGGAGCAATGTCAGACTAATTGCTTCAACAATAACAGGACCCAGGCGGCTAGCTTTGATCTTGGAAACCATCTACAATCCAGGCCCCTTTGATGTTTCATACAATGGAAGCATAAATATTTTCTATTTACTACATGATTGGACTTTCAGAAACCCAATTAAGTTGAAGGTCAATTAAGAGAAAATGAAATCTTGACTCCAAAAGTCAGAGAAGAGGTGGTAGATGTTAGCATGGCTATGTGTGCATAAAAGAAGTTAACTAACCTAATTATAAACTTATATAAACACCCAGAGAAATTGCCTTTCATGTGAAAAAAGGACCTAAAGCATTTTATAACATTGAGATCATTAATGTGTCTTTGAAACACACCCAGCTCTGCAAAAGAATAGTAATACTGGCATTTCAAAACTCTATTACTAAAAAATTGGAGACAGCCAGGGATAAAAGCACTTCACAGCTCATCAAATGCAGCCCCTTGCTCTTCAAAATGAGACCATAAATGTGTAGTTCAGTGCTGTGTCTATTGGTTTCCCCTAGGTACACTTCAAAATCTTCACTGCCCATTTCAGAAAGCTGAAAGGCTGGCTGGACTGGGCACTGAGGACTAGGGCATTCCAGCATAGGCTGAGCCACCTTAAGCCAGATTTCTGAAAACTCTAAAGCCCAGTTCCAAATGTCTACAGCAAGACTATAGATGCTTATCTTATTGGATTACTGTGAGATTAAATAACATGTTTAAATCCCTAATAGGGAGCCGTGTGGAGCATTGCAGATAATTGAAATGCCTCCCCCTCCTCTCCTTCCTTGGTAAGTTTGGGTTTTAGAATTAAACATACCTGAGGCTGAACCCCTTTCCTTCCATTTGCTTTTTGTGTTGCTTTGGGTTGGGTGATTTCCTGAACTCAGGCTTCAGTTTCTTTTTTGTTATTTTGAGATAGAGTTTCTCTGTGTCCTTGGCTTTCCTGGAAAAGCCAACTCAATCTGTAGACCAGACTAGCCTCAGACTCATAGAGATTCACCTGCCTCTGCCTTCTGAGTGCTGGAATTAAAGGCGTGTACCACCACAGCTTGGTCTCAGGCTTTGGCTTCTTAACCTAAATTGGAGTTGGTTATATTTACTTTGTCATGGTTGTTTGAAGAATAGAGAGCATTTGTACTGACTCTGGCACATAGTTGACAGCATGAAAGACATAACACTAAAAATATGATTCACTGTGGCCTAAAATACACTTTCCAAAGTAGGATAAAGTATTTGTGCATGCCTGTGTGCATGAATGCATTGCATCACTGTGTGTGTAGCAGGTGTTTTGTGTGCATAGATGGATATAAGTGTGAAAAGGGTATGAGTATGGTGATATAGATACACATATACAACTTAAACACACACAAAGAGAAATGAGAGGTACACATAGATAGATAGATAGATAGATAGATATGGATACAGAGAGAAAGGAAGACATGTAGGTCATTTCTCTGTCTTGTCATTAGCCACAATTAAGTTGTGTAGAAACTTGAATTTAAATGCTGTAAAAGGACACTCCTAATTGAGTAAGATAAACAAATTTTCTATTCCTTTGCTGGGTGACACACATCTTATAGATCCCCTCTTATTCCCTTCTTCCACTTTGAACTACATCTAAGGAGCCTTTCATCTGACAAGTTCAAAGTATGCCCACTTACCTATGCATCTTAGTGAAATCTTCATTTCTAATGCCCAGGCTTTAGGAGAAATAGATAACCAAAATGAACTTATCAGGCATCCCTATTAGCCGTCAGAGACACACAGTATATGACCAAATGAGCTTGAATTTGTTCCCAAGACCAATTAGTTAAATAGCAGAGGATAAAATATAATCTTGAGGCTATTCTCTTCTGACAAAGAATGCATTAAGATAAAACTTCCAGCTAAAGTAGGTAGGGATTGTTGCTTTCCCCAAAGTAATATGACCTTGGTGTCTACAGACACTACAACATCAACTGCCAGAAATTTGAGTGGTGTCTGATCATGTTTCCTTAATTTCAGAGTCTGAATAAAAGACAGAAGCTATTGTGAAATGTGTCAGCAGTTATATCTAGAATCCAAAGAGTTGATTTATCAAATTCAAAGGCCAAGTCTTGCCCTTGGAAGTGTCCAGTGTATAAATGTGCATCTCTGACCATAAGAACATAAGATTGAAAGGGTAGGAGCTGTTGATAATGGAATCTGTAGAGCTCCCTGGAAGTAGATGTGTGCTCTGGATCTGGAACACCTGCCGCTGTTTGTACTTACAGTTCACAGTGACCTTGACTTGCTTGACATCCGCTGAGGAGACCTCATTGGCAGCCTTGCACTCGTATTTGCCTGACTGCTCCCTAGTGATGCCTAGGATCTCCAGATATTCTTCTTCTCCTTCAAATTCTCTTCCTGAAAAAGCAGACAATTGAACGATTTTTTTTGATAAATCTAAAACATGCTGCAGATTGCTTCTCTCAATCCTCTTTTCATAAAAGCAATAAATCAGCACAGCTTTTCATTAATTTGACAACATGCTTTGTTCTTGGTCAAATTTTACAGCCATAGACCCCAAGATAAAGTTTCTTCTGAACATAATAAGTGGGAAGTGTTCTGAGGAGAAACAGGTAGAGGACCCGAGAAATGGGAGCTGGGAGAGAATGAAGCCAAACAAGGTCATGATGCCAGGTTAAATTCCCACAAATAATGCTGACTCTGTCCTTTGGGGACTCTGAGGATCATACAGTTCCCATTTCAATATTGTCCTGATAAAAAAAGACAATTGTCCACAGTGCTCAAACCTTCATAACTGTAAGTCATTGATCAAGTGTTTGCAACAAGGTTGGGGTAGGAGACAGCATGATGCGCCAGAGATATGCATGAAACATTGTGGTCATCCTTACACTACTAGTTATGCTCTTATACCAAAGTAACTATTAGAAAGAGAATGACTTGCTTGTGACAAACTCTAGTCTTCTGATTATGTGGATCTTGTTTTCCACAAAGATCATGTGCTGGGACTGGGAAGATGGTTCAGTAGTAAAGATAGGGCTTCCATAAGCATCAAGTTCAATTACTGCATATCAATCAGCTCACATCACCTATCATTCCAGTTCCCAGGAACTCAATATCCTCCATTGGCTTCAATAGGCACTTACACATATGTTGCAGGTGTGTGCACACATGTATACCCCCCCCACACACACACACAGAGAGAGAGAGAGAGAGAGAGAGAGAGAGAGAGAGAGAGAATAAATCTACATCTTTAAAACTAAACCCTGTGCAAATCCATGCCTTGAAGCTATATGGTCTATTTTATATGACTATCCAGGCTTTCAAGCCATGGGTAGATGCATGATAGTATATAGCTGATGGTGTGTTTGGTGATAGACCATGTTACCATGTCTGGACATAGGGGACTGCATACCCATGGGATTAATAGGTGGAATTAGAGATGGGGAGGTTACATTTTGGAACAATTCACAAATTTGGATGTTTTCTTTCTATATAGAATAATTAGACATGATTTTTTTGAACTATCAAATGGAAACTGAGTAAATGAACTTTTTCTTCTGAATAGATTGAAAGAAGAAAAAATAGGGGGTCATTAAAGGGGAAAGAGAATGTGGACAATGAGGGTGGGCAACTGAAAGAACTTAACTAGAGCACAGACAGGCTGGTCTGTGGACTCTAACTTTAATTAAATTCTATGTCTCTCACCTGGTCCAGTTCACAACTCCATCACCCATTGACTTAGCACAGAGCAGCTGGGAAAGTTGTTAAAACAGTCCTGCCCCAATGATGCAATCTTGCTCCTCGTCATGCTACACTAAATGGTACCAATTAATGGCTCGGCTCAAATGCCACAAGCTGTTCCTTTCCTAAAAATCCCCTAATGGCCAAATCAACATAACATCCAGCCAGCATGGACATGAATTCATTGTTTTGATATGTTAACCAAGCTTCAAGCCTGCTAACTAGACTCCCAGCAGAACACAGGACCTCTTTGGTAACATTCACTCATACAACTGTCTGGAACACTAGAAGCTTCAAATTCCTGCCAACCGCCAAGCTGTAAGAAAACTAATACAAACAGGGAATAGACAGTAATATAAGATTATTTGGTTTGGACTTAGTGTACACTGGATAGCACATGTTTGTACTGAAAGCACAGTGCCATTGCTCTAAGAAATGTCTTGGGATATTATTTCTAAATGGCTAATTTCTGCCTATGTGTTCTCTCCCCATCTTCAAGCATGTAGTCAGGCAGGGGTTTATACTCCACATGTAGAATATCAAGTAAGTAGAATGTGTGAGGGGTCACTTGATTGGGTCTAAAGGTAATTACAGAGTATAATAAGAAGTGCTAAAGTGACTACAAGAGTTCTCAGAATTTTCCCTCAGCCCTCTTCCACACTCACAGACTTTGTTCCTAAGTGAGTGTGGAATCTTCAATAGGAGAACGAGAACTGGTCCAGGCTTGAGGATGGCTGAAACACTGCATTCATTTCAATTCCCACCACATGTCAATAAATAGCAGGAGGGTACATGGATCTCTTTCTCACAGTTTATTTTCTTAAAGAAATGTGCCTTTTGTGGGAGAAAGATACTTTTGGCCTTATTCACTCAGGCTTTGCTGGTTTGGCAAGAGGGAACCTCTGAGGGTAAATCTTCAAAGAATGAAAGAAAATAAAGCCATATTTACTGGATTTGGGGATTCTCATACACCAACGCACATGTTAATTAGTCTATTTCTTTTCTGAAAAGTAGCCAATAAAGCAGATCCTAACCAGATAAACTCTCAGACTCTGCAGAAGAACTTTCCCAGTATTACCTGAAAAGGAAGGGGGATTTTCCTTCCATAATGATTTCCTTTATCCTCTCAGAACAGCCTCTTCTATGCTAACAGTACCTCTAGTTCCAGAACATAACACCCGGATAGATTGTCATTAGAGTGAGATGTTTTTGTAGGATAAAATACATGAGTTTTCCCTCATTCAAGCAGCCTGATAATTATCTGCAATATTGGATAAGACCTCTGTATGCATCTTGTCGTTTTCCCTCTCCTTCCTCCTAGATCCCCTAGTTGAAACTCGGATATTTCTGGCATCCTTGCTATTTTATTCTGCTTAAGCCCACAAAAGGGTTACCTGTAAGGCACTATATCTATGACTTCATTCAAGTATTTCTCATTAGTTTAGAGTAATAGGACAGAAAGCACAGGTCTTCTGTTGCTAGAAACCCAAAGTTCCAGATTATAAGCCTCTTAGGATGTTTCTTATTCATAGCATCCCCCTGAACTTGTCTGAAGTTTCCATAGATTATGAAGTTGGTAAATGAGATAGCTTGACACAGGTTTAATATTTGGCCCTTCCCCAATTTGAATGTTGAAATGGTAATCTACAGCGTGATGCAATTTAGAAGTACAGTTTTGAAGAGATGATAAGAGCATGAGAATAGATGCCACATAAGGATACAGCAGCAAATAGCTTTCTATGAACAAGTAAATGAGCCCTCACCAGACAATGTATATGTAGGCACTCAGATCTTGGACTCCCCAACCTGCACAACTATGAGAAACAAGCTCCTGCTGCTTGTAAGCCATCTATAGTTTTTCATTATAGCTGCCCTGATGGGATGGCTCACAGATGAAGAGAATTAAGCAAGAGAAGCAGGTACTAGAGATAGTTACAACACCTCAAATAGCTTAAGAGAATGGAGCCAAGTGTGGGAGCCATCATAAAAATCCATTCCTTTTTAATGATCCTAATAGAGTACCATTTTGCTTGTGTGTAGAGTAAAGGCTGCTGTTAAAGGCTGGACAGGGGCATTGCTTGTTATATCCTGAGGATGTTAATGCTATGGGGAGTCATTGCTTCAGCAACCAGCTGAAGCCCTGCAGACACAGGCCTGACAAGATGCTTTTCCTTTTGTCTCAGCAACTGCAATTCTTTGTTTTAAAACATGCAACAAACCACATGAATTGTGAACCAGGAAATGCTAAAGTGCAACTCACAGTCTCCTGTGCTTTTTCTTTTACTTGACCTGTGTCTCTCCATGGAGACATGGGTTCTCTCAGTCACATTCTCTAGCTGCTAGCCACTGAAGGATTCTAGCACCATTCCCTGTCCTTTCAAAAACTTCTTGGGCAGAAAATGACCCATGAACTGCCATTTAGGTTGTCTGGAGAACTTGCCCAATAACTACAATTTAGATCTTTCCCTCATTCCAATCTGTTACTGTCTGCCCTGTATAAACTTTGCTTAAAATGCCAATTTCAACATTTTTGCATTTTAAACATCTCAACACTTCGCTCACTCTGATGGGTGTTGTGTTTATTCTGGTGTTTGGTTTCAATTACCCTTTGGTTAGTGTACTTTTGAGTCTTCTGGCAGTAATTCAGCTACAGGCCAAATAATTCTGTCTTCTTCAGTGTCCCTACCTTTCACACTCTTGCATCCAATTATCATGTTCCCCTTTAGTCTCTGCTTATTCAAGTTGTGCATTATTAGTCCTTTAATATATCTTCATGAGTCAGAGAGGAGCCCAGAGCTAATGGCAAGAGAAAAAGCATTCTCTTTGGTGTTTCCCAGTCTGGGGGCAAAACAGCTAGAAATAATACCTATTAGAGTATACCAGATGTGGTGCTGAGGACAAGATCTGCTTTAGTAAATTGAGTTTACAAGGTCAACTAGTCCTTGTAAGGAAGCAGTAACTAAATACCTTTTTGGAGCTACTCTTTCTTTTTCCTCATTCTTTCTTCCTTCTTCCTCTTCCTTCCTTCCCTATTTTCTCATTCTTTATCCTCCCCCCCCACATACAGAGACACAGAGACAGAGACAGAGAGATACACAAACACAGAGACACAGAAAGACAGGGGTTTGGAAGAGTTATTAAATCGAATCCTAATATGAAAATACAGTAGCCTTCTAATATTTACTCAGTAAACACAGTAAGATATTTTTAATTTATTCCTAGGATATTACAACTTTTCTTTCATTTGACACAAAACTGTACATGTTAAAGGTCTTCTATCATATTGCTCATTAAAAGATTAGTTATTCCTTTTGCTTTATTTGAGGTTCAAGAAGCACATTTCATGGAGCAATGCAGAATTCAGAGGCCTCTTGTCTGTTTAGAAATAGATGAACCATTTCTATCTGTGCTCCAAGAAGAGTTTTAAAGCAACTCAGAGGATCAATGTTTCTTTAAGGGGAAGATGTGTTGGAAATGGCTTTCCCTTTACTCATCAAAATTTTAATACTTACATGTAAGTGGCTGTAAACACATTATCTATAAATACAAACACACAGTATTTAATGAAAGGCAAGGAACTTAAGTTTATTTTGCAGGGTATATGTGTGTTGTATGAGTCTGTGTTTGGAGATGAGAGTAAAGACAGAAAAGGCCAG